ACCCCCTAGAGCGAGATAACTTTAGCTCGGGCTAAGGGTGTTTCGACCTTTTGTACTGGGGGTTATCCCGCTTCAGGTCCGGATCTGAAGCGGGATAAACCCCAGTATAAAAGCGGCATTAGTGATACGTTGGGTTTCATTTTGAATTGCTACAATATATGACGTTATCTAGGCAGAAACTAAAAGCACATGGTGAGTGGAGTTGAAATAAAGTACTCATATTGTCTAGCTAAAAAAATATGGTAATGACGTGCTAACACATTCCCCTTTTTTTACAGTGTTATTCAGTGCCAAGAGAACGTTATTACTCATAGCGTTCTGCTGCCATCTAAAAAACTGACTGCTTTGGCAGTGACACAAACAAAATGTACAAGCAATGATCAAGTGATGATGCCATAATCCAGGCCCCCTTATCTACATAGTTGAATCAGTGAGTTGAACACATGACTGCACATACTTTCAAAAGGTAAAAATGTGCCCTGGGTGAATTTTTCGACGTGCACTTATGCACAAGTTTACGACCAACGACAACCTGTAGTCATTTGTTACCAACATGTAATGGTTTGGTTATCAAAATGAAAACATTCGTGGTAGAAAATTCATGCTGGCTTAGTGAAACTCAGCAGCCTTATGAACAGGTGTTAATATGTACTACACAATTTGTAAAACTGTATGATTAAAATGCATATAATATGTGAATTGCAGTGCAGAATATATATAGTGCACAGTCACGCGTGAGTACTGCTCGATCATACACTATACCATCACACAGAAAAGGTGAGGCAATTCCCAAACCATGGTGGCAGGTTGAAATACTCACCAAACTGTGAAATATTTAGTTTTAATTTTGTATTCAAAGAACCAATCAAGCAAGCAAGCAAGACATGCATCCACGCACGCACACACGCACACGCACAAATACAAACACATGAATATATGCACAGTTAGTAACCAATTTTTAACCAAGCAAGATGAACACACTTCCTGCTCTTAGAAAGAGAGAGAGAGCCGACAGCAAAAAGCGGTAATCCGCAGCACGACACAAATAGACTTAGAAGTAAGGGTCATAATGACATGAATTTTTGTGTCCTAAAATATAATTTTGAAAACGTTGAAAGCAGTATTATATCTTGGAGTAATCATTCTGACGTCAGAATGATTACTCCAAGATTATATATACACAATATTTAATATGTATAGTAGAATTTTCAGGGGGTCATACGACCTCAGGACTGCTCTCAAATCAGGCAGTGCTACAGGCCGACACATCGTTTTACACTGGGCTCGGCCCTAATTTTGTCCTCTTTACGTACATATTGTTTGCTGAACAGGGCGCGAAATTAGCACCGGCCAACCGGCATATGCCTGCAAATTATTTGGAGGGCCGGTAACATTGGTGGTTTCAGCCGTGTAAGCGAGTACCTGCAATCCCCCCTGCATTTATATTTATAGCATTAATGAGCAAATATAGCCTATATTACTGTTTTACCTGAAGGATATCACGCCATAATTTATCAACATTTTACAAATTTGAAATCGAGAATGCAAGCGTGAAACATTACATTGATTTTTAAACAAAATTTGTGAGGGCTGGTAAATTATGGTGAGGGCTGGTAAAAATTTGCTGAACCAGCTCACTGGGCCGGTGCAAAAAAATCTGAATTTCATGCCCTGCTGAATAAATCATAGTGATTAGGTTCATCTTGAATTTGTAGCAGCCACATTGCTTAGATTCACTTTGCACATTTTTGGAAAAATGCAAACTATATTGAACACTGCAGTTGTTTTTGTTTGTGTTATATTGCTGATGTTGTTGTCATATATATTGTTGTGGTTGCCATGTCATCGTCGCCGTTGCTGCTCCTGCTACTGTTATTGCTGCCATTATTATCGTTGTTGTTGTTGTTGCTGTTGTTGTTTATACTATCTATTTCATCAGTCTACATCAAAGCTTTACGTAAACTGACTTGCTGTCTAGTTTTAAAATATATATACCAAATGGTATATTTTAAAACTAGACAGCAAGTTCACCTTCAGGTATGTCAAGCCAGCTTAACAAGGCCGTACCAGCTCAAGCTCAGTACATTGTTTTAAATACTAATAAGACACGCCAGTTTACTCACCATTCTCGGTACCATGAACAGACTCCAAGAAAAAGACAACTGAAAAATAAAAACATGAACACTGTTATGAATTGCTCTGGTTTATATATATAATTACCCCGATTCTTCACTGCATGTTATTGTACACACAGACCTATGACAATTTCAACAAAGGTCCCTTCTCCTAACTACCATATATAATCCAACCCAACAAATGTAGATAGGAAATTAAACCAATTTTTAACTACAGGTGAAGCCCTAAACATTATATACATGTAATTACACCACCAAATACATCCAAGGGGTAGAAATTAACTTTTGAACACGGGCTCCCTACCCTCAAAAAGAGGGAGTCCGCAGCAAAATGAGGGAGTCCGCAGTCTGAGGTTCAAAATTAACCAAGATATCAACAATAACGCATGTGCTTATTTTTAAGATTCATGCGGTTGCACGTCCGCCAAATTTTCTTTGGACATTAGCTGAAAAAATACGGTAATTCCGCGAGGCCGTGCTCCGGAACGAAGATAGTATGGCAGAATCCGGACTCCGGCATATATATGTCAAATCAGGGAGTCCGACAGTAAATCAGAGAGCATTTGACTCCGGACTCCCGTTAATTTCGCACCCTGCATCACTATATATAACAAAATAAACAAAGTACAAAAACTCAGTGAAATATCCAGTTTTCTTAGTTACCAAACTTTCCTAATTGTTATCTGACATGCTATGATGGCTTATTGGCTGGTTGGAGGAATGTATTGAGATCTGATCGAAGTACTGTGCAAGCATTTTCTCGCAAATCATGACAGTGACCAATGACTAACAATACCATTACCAGGGCTTGAAACTAACCTAAAATGTTCACTAGCCAGCAGGGCTAGTGACCTGTAAAATCTACTAGCCCTTAAAAATATCTCCCAGCCCTTACTTTTCTAAAGTGCCGCGCTGAAGCTACGCAGTGAGCACAATTTTGCCATTTGCGGAGGGGGGGTCTGGGTTTTGATTTTTGCCGCTCCGAGATACATTCTGTGAAATTCCTTGACTTTGTGAAAATTTAGATTCAGCATAGATTCAGTATATATATATATGGAATATATAGTAGAACAGAAACGTATTGCGTATACACTGTGAAGGGATTGACATGAGCTTGTGAATAAAGCAGCATGGTGGTTGGAACCGATTTTATTGTCTGAGGTATCGTGACTGTTAAGTTTAGGTTTTGCAATTTTATTATGTTTGCACACGCAAATTTTATATTACTTATTACTAGTTCGGTCGGGTTAGTAGTTGCTGAAAAAGTACTAGTAATATGTTATCTGGTAGGCATTCCAACTCGCCAACAGGGCTGGTCAGCCCAGACATTCTACTAGCCCTTGCTGATTTCTACTAGCCTCGGGCGAGCGGGCGAGCGTTAGTTTCAAGCCCCGATTACTAATAATTACTAACTAAATGTGGAATATCCTCCACTGCACACCAAAATAGATGATTCAGATTTCAGATACCACAAATCAACACATCCAATATATAGCAGTTTGTAAGTCACACTCGGGAACCATCTCACTTGTTCTGACCACTAAAATCACACTACAATCTGATGATATCCACGATGTACAGCCACAATCAGGCAACTCAAAATCTTGTGTACTATCTTTATAGGCTTTAGTGTCTGACATTTAATGTTGCTGCTCATAGCGACTAAGTATTTAGAGCCACATGATTCTGAGCAAACCCAGCATTTAATAACCAACCATTGCAAATCCCAAAAATTGCAAGCTTACTCATTGGCCGGTTTTTGGAAGACACCTCCCCCCTAACGTGTGATACTGATACACTCTGTAATGTCTGAGAAAGGCCTTACAAGCTGGATGTGATATGGGACCAATTTTAAAAAGATAAGTCCAATCACTAAAGTATAAGAAACTCATTGAATTTTAGTAAGAAACTCAAACTAATCTATTGTCCGTATTACAGCTTTCACAACTTATCTTCAGCAAATTTGAAACTTTTTCTTCAACATTTTAGTTCAGGCTGTGCTTTTGCCTATGTTCGTTGCTGCCGATGCAGACACAGCGTGAATGACCAGTACGCACTGTAGCATAGTAATACATACACAGGGTTCTTGTTAACTTTTGACAAAGCAGGTAATTTGACAATGAATAGCAGGTAACTGTTTTTCCGGCACGGACGGTAGGGCGAGCGGCGAAGGCGCGAAGCCCTGCTAGGGGGAAAAAATTTCTGATTTGACCCACAAATAGCCTATTTTGATGGGTATGGGTTCTAGAATTTGGTAGTTTAGATAGGAAAATATATGCTATTAAGTATCTATTATAAAAAGAAAAACCTGCCCGTGCACAGAATTTGTCTTGGGTTGGAAGTATTTAAAATAAACTTCGTTTTCTCAAATATGGATTAAATATTTTACCGCCTTTAGTGGGAGTTTCTCTCAAATTGATAGCCGGTAACAAATTGCGCGATAGGCGGTAAAAATAACCGGTTACCGGCTATTAACAAGAACCCTGCATACACATGCAAGACTAATGCACATAACTCCACAATAAAACAAGCAATAATTTATTCGTCAAGGTTCATTCACAATATAAGATGTACTTAAATCTCACTCTTCCTTCCCCTCTCCGTCTCACTCTGTCTGTCTGTCTGTCCGTCGGTCCGTCCGTCAGTTCGTCCGTCCGTTCATCCGTCTGTCTGCCTGCCTGCTCTCTATATATATATCTTTCTCTCTGGGTGTGTGCATGTGTTTGTTTGTGTGTATTGCTGGAAATGGGCTAATTATTAGTTACTGAATTTTTTTTTTTTTAATAACAAACTATAAATACACAACACATATGCGGTGCCAGTACCATCACACACGCACACATAAACGTATCTTCTCACGTGCATTCACACACGTGGTACAATTTGTGATGCCGATACCGAGTAAATTCAATACAACATCTGGCAGGCTGTCTAGCTACCTGCCTGTCTGACATCTAGCTATCTGTCTGGCTGGTTGTCTGTTTGTCCGTCTCTCCGTCCATCTATTCATTCGTTCAGTATGTATGTATATAATGTGAATTCTAAACTATGTATAGTGTGATTTATAGAATGGGATGTGCACTGTAGTAATGAATACAATGGTACCTTAAAGGGACAGTAGCCTCTAGGATTTTACTGCATACAACTGTACTTACTGTATAACAAATCGTCTATACCCACACG